GTCCGGTCTGTCCAGGTCCCTCTGGATGGCAGCGCAGCCCTCTGGGGTATCAGCTACTCCTCCCAGTTTGGTATCATCAGCAAACTTGCTGAGGGAGCACTCTGTGCCTTCATCCAGGTCATTGATGAATAAGTTGAACAGGACTGGACCAGGGACTGACCCCTGGGGGACACTGCTGGCTACAGGCCTCCAACTAGACTCTGCACTGCTGATCACCACTCCCTGGGCTCTGCCATCCAGCCAATGCCAATAACCTATCATCAGCCAGGACTCCCAAACCCCTCTTCCCTCTCCACAGAGCTGCTTGGCAGCAGGTCAACTCCTAAGTCACTTCTTACAATTCAATGTTATGCTTATTCTCAGAAATTTCATTTCTTAGATGGTTTTACTGTTTATATTTTCTGCAGTGCTTTTCTGATCATTTTTGTGCAGGTTGTGCATGTACAGATGTTTAAGTGTGTTGCTTCACTTAGCAGCAAACAGATGTGTTTCTGTCCCAGCTATCACTGTTTTTTTCATATGTGCTGTAGTAGCAGTTTGGGATCTCTGACTGGAACTGACACCAGCTTGTGCCGCTCAAAAACACCCATTTAATGTTCAGATGAAAACTGTGGGGAAAGCTAGTGCTTTTCTCTGTGATCATGGGGTGTTTGAGTATGGGGTGTTTCACAGTGATCCTGTGAAAATTCAAGGTTGTTGTGCTCTGTGCCAGACCTGGAAAGAATGTGGTACCATCCAAGCAGGAAGTTGGGACATCAGGGTTCTGTTCCTATTTCTATGCTGATGGCCTAAGAGTGACCTGGTGTTAGTCACTTCACCCTTCAGCCCTAGCTTCCCATCAATAAGATGAAGCTGGTTTTTGAAAAGCGTTTTCTGAAACAGCTGAATCGTAGAACCATGGAATCGTTATGGTTCGAAAGACCTTCAAGGCCACTGAGTCCAGTCATAAGCCCCGCAACACCATCCTGCTAAACCATGTCCCTAAGTGTCTCATGTACACGTTTTCTTGAGCACTGCCAGGGACAGTGATTCCACCACTGCCCTGTGCAGCCTGTCCCAAGGCTTCACCACTCTTTCTGTGTAGAAACCTTTCCTAATGTCTGCCCAGAACCATCCCTCATGCAACTTGAAGCCATTTCCTCTTGTCCTATCCTAGTTATTCTGGAGAAGAGATCGACCCCTGCCTTGCTACAGCCTCCTCTCAGGTGGTTGTAGAAAGCAATAAGGTCTCCCCCGAGTGTCCCCTTCTCTAGACTGAAGAACCCCATCTCCCTCGGCTGCTCCTCACAGGTCTGCGCTCCAGCCCCTGCATCAGCTTCACTGCCCTCCTTTGGATTCACTCCAGCACCTCCATGTCCTTCTTGTAGTGAGGGGCCCAAAACTGAACACAGTTCAGTGTGCAGAAGAATGTAGAATGAAGAACTGCCTAGGGGCAAAGCATTTCCATATTATTAGATGCTGCACAACCACAACTTTTATTGCAATAATGAGAGAATTTTAGAGCATCCTGTCAGTACAAAACCCTTTCCAGTTGCTATGTTATAGGAATACAGTTTACTTCAGAACACTGAAAGATCTAAATCTGATACCTTTCAGGTTTCAGCTGCTAATTATACCCCAGGAAGCCAAGCTGCTTTCCCTCAAAGAAGGCTGAAAAACCCAGACATCAATTAGTTCTTAGAGCTGTCCTTACTGAAGGAGATCCTCAGGGCAACTGTTAGATGTTTAGGTGACGTTGCTGTGTGAAGAGCAACTGGAAGAAGCTGTTATGCCTAGAAGATGTCTCACTGTAAATGGGCAGTGCCTGATAGAAATGCCTGTGAGTTCTGGCAAGGGTGTAAGAAATAGTAACCTCTTTCCAGATGGCCAAGATGATAATTGTCCTACGCAATGATACATTTTCCTCTCTCCTTTCCCACTAGCACCTGCATCGCCTTGTATCAGTGGGGCTACAGAGAAGGCCCCACGTGGCAGCCCTGCCCCACGCATACAGCACCAAGGAAGAGGGCTCTGCAAGGCCGATTGGGCGGTACCCGGTGCCCAACAAGAAGGATATGCCATATGATATTGTGGAGCTCATGGAGGAAGTGGAAATGAAGGTAAAAGTGCTCTGCTGCAAAATCCTCTCAGCAGAAAGGGTCCAGAGTGTTCACGTTACACACTGTAAGATTCTGTTGTGGTTTATTCTATCTGCAATGCGTGGTCCTTCCACCCCTATAGTTCCTGCTGTCTACTGTATTTTTGCTCTACTACAGTTGCAGTAATCTCCGTGAAATTTGTGCAATAACAAAAAGAGTCAGGAGGCTCACAGGTAAATCCAGCATAACTTTCTTATACTGTGATGTAAACTCCTCTCTGTTGGTGCATTAAAGGGCTCAGCAAAGACTTAGATGTAGAATCTAAAGGGACTAAGATTTCCAGAAACTGCTGCCAACCTCTGTGGCCAAAGGCTCCTGAAAAGATAATTCAATCATGATTTAAGAGGGAGGACCTTCCCCTCAGTTAACTAACAACAGACAGATGTGTGGGGTAGGAGGAATACAGAGTCAGCTGTGTGACAATGGAGGGAGATTGTCTGTCAAATCTAAACTATTCTTTTTTCATAAGCATCTTGAAGAACAGCCAGCAAGCCAGTAGGGTCTGCAGACACAAAAAAAAAAAAAAAAAAAAATGACTGAAAAAAACTGCCATGGGATTGCTTGGTGTTTGGCAGTCAGTAGCTGAAATCCCATACTGGTAAATATTGAGTGGAAGGACCTGGACACCTCTACATTCAGTATTAGGGGATCTTGCATAGGAGAGGCAACAAGTCTTTGGGAATGGTAGGTTAGTGCACCATCCAAGGTAAGAACTGAGCATCAGAAAGAGAACAAAGAGTGAAGAACCACAGCTTGGACCAGCACATAATTCCATGGCACACCTGTAGCTCCAATTATGTGGGTTTCAGTTTAGGCTGGCCGTCTCTTGTGTCCTGTAATCTTGTAGGGAGGGGGAGAATTAGAGAAGATCTTGGATGGTCAGATGGACATAGCAGGTTCTGTGAAGGCAGAGACAAAATAGATGGTAATCTCCCACTTCGGAGGAAAGTTGCCATAAGGGGTGAGATGACTGTAGCCATTACTTGTGTGGAAGAAGATCCGCAGGGGAGATTTCATTCTATGAAAATATAGCAATACCACATAATTTCACCAAGTCATATTTGTAAATGGATGCAGTAGAATTTGAGAGAATTAGGCTGCAGACTCTCCATGCTAACATTTTTTTTGCTAAGCTTCACACATTAATGTTGCCTGCTGCACTGTGCATTAACTATTACAGTTCTTGACTTACCCTTTTCTTTGAACAGACCGGATTTTTGCCTAATGTGTTCAAAGCCATGTCTCATCGGCCTGCTGAATTCAGAGCATTCTTCGCTTACTACAATGCCATTATGAACAAAGACACGGGTAAGCCTTCAAACTGCTGCTTGCTCCGTGGATGTGAAAAACTGATTTAAGTGATATCTTTGATATCATATGTTGAACTCCCTCAATATGCTTTATCTCAGCTCAGAGGAACAGCTCGCAGAGGCTGGATCTGTTTTGCAGCTTCTCCCTTCTGCATATATACATTAAATCTTCAGTCTTTTTTGCCTGAGATTAAAAAGGCCAAGCAGAGGCTGACTTGCATTTGGGACCATGAGCTGGGGCTTAAAGTTGGTAAAAGAGCAGGCATGGCCAATGGCTTCACTGACAGGGGTGTAGTCCTACGTTACCCAAGTAAGGAGAACATAGTAGGTGTGGTGCAGGTGACCAGGGATAGTCAAGAGCCACGCAAGAAAAAGCAGGCCCAAGATAGGCCAGGCTCACATTGCAGATCAGCAGGGCCAGGCACAGCCATGGAGCAGGGCCGCAGTTTTGGCAGGAGCTTAGGCCACAGTTGACTAGAAGGTCCCTTGGACTTATGTCCTCTGAGCTGTTTTATTGAGCAGCTGGTACGAAAAGCCCTGTTGCCCCAGTGACACTTGTGTCAGAGGGTACTTTTTAATAACAAAATGTGCCAAACCATTTCCTCTCCTTGTAGGTCGGCTCAGCAAGGCGGACAAAGAGCTCATAATTGTGGCCACAAGTGCTGTGAATAGATGTCCCTACTGCGTGGTTGCACATGGAGCACTTCATCGGATATATTCCAAGCAGCCAGCACTGGCTGATCAGGTCAGTGCTGGGGCAATTACATGTGCTACAACTGCTTTGAATGTACTTCTGGAAGGCAGGAATGGCATTCTCTTATGTGTTTGCTTCTTCACCTACAACTTTGATGGTTTAGTCTGTGGTTCCCAGCACAGGCAGGGGAAAGCTTCTCCACGCGTTTGGGGCCCTAATGCAATACCTGGCTAGTGTGGTTTGTGGAAGTTTGTCACACAGAAGTGTGACCCGAAGTGTGTCACACAGAAGTGCGTCATCATGATGCTGTTACCGTAACAAGCATGAAATGCACGGCTGACTACTGAAACTGTGTTCCTAAGCCAGCGTGAGCTTTGGCTTTAGCCCTGGAGAAGAAGTTGGAGAGAGGAGGTCTGTGCATCTCATCTACTCTCCAAGAAATGTGCAGGGATGGTCAATCACTTTGCAGGGTGTTCAACCTATTGCCCACAGCCTTAGCTGCTTCAGCCCTGTGTCTGTGAAGGAACCTGCTGCTGTAGGAAGACTGCAGCATCCTGCGGGCACTGGGTCCCTTTCCCAGAGCTCCTCCACCATCCCTGGATAAGAGGGAGAGTAAAACAGACCCTTTGACTCATGGTTTCTGTTTCAGCAGGTGAGCAAAAGAGCCCACACGCTGCCACCTTTCTGCCTCACGGAGACAAGGGAGTGTTAAGCCACCTTGCCACCGCTTGCTGGTTCCGCCTGTGCTTCTCCCACTACTCCAGTTTCTGCCTTTCCGCAGGTCGTAGTGAACTGGAAACTGGCCGACCTGAGCGGCCGGGAGCTGGCCATGCTGGAGTTCGCCCTCGCGGTCTGCCGAGCCGATAACATCACCGAGGAGCACTTCCAGAAGCTGGAGGCGCACGGCTTTGACCGTGAGGACGCCTGGGACATCGGCATGATTTCCGCCTTTTTCGCCATGTCTAATCGCATTGCTCATTACATCGACCTGCGCCCGAACGCGGAGTTCTACACGATGGGCCGGACACCGCGGGAGGAAAAGGAGAACGGGAAAACCGAGCAGGCCTGACCCACTGCTCGGGCACCTGCAGGCCTCCGAGGGATCTGCCAAGGTCCCAAGCTCACTTCGCCCACTCCCGAATGTACTTTTAAACATTAATACCAGATTCTAATCATGGCACATGACTCTGTGTTTTTTTTTTCTTTTCCCCCAAGGGCTTTTTTGACTAGATGGCGATTTGAGCACCTTCCCTGCTGCTAAAACAGTTAATTTCACGCTGGAAAGCGTTTAAGCGGGTCAAAAAGCAACACAAACAGGGTGCCGCACCGTGCTGTAATTCCGCAGCGGACACGCCGCGCTGCAGCCCGTGTTTCTGCAGGCCACACCTGCGTGAGGAGCCGGGGCGGGGGACGGGGGCGCGTGTTTCCTTAAAAAACACGAGATTTGGCCCAGCCCGAGGAGGAGGGTAACGGGGGAGGAGGCGGAAGCGGG